AGTAAAGGTGACCCCTGTCAATTTTGTTAAGTATGTTTGTATCAAAGTAAAGGATGATCCCCATCAATTTTGTTGAGTATGTTTGTATCGAAGTAAAGGATGATCCCCGTCAATTTTGTTGAGTATGTTTGTATCAAAGTGAAGGATGGTCCCTGTCAATTTTGATGAGTATGTTTGTATCAGAGTAAAGGTGACCCCTGTCAATTTTAATGAGTATGTTTGTATCAAAGTGAGGATGATCCCTGTCAATTTTGATGAGTATGTTTGTATCAGAGTAAAGAATGATCCCTGTCAATTTTGTTGAGTATGTTTGTATCAAAGTAAAGGATGATCCCTGTCAATTTTGATGAGTATCTTTGTTTCAAAGTAAAGGTGACCCCTGTCAATTTTTGTATCAGAGTAAAGGATGATCACTGTCAATTTTGATGAGTATGTTTGTATCAAAGTAAAGGATGATCACCATCAATTTTGTTGAGTATGTTTGTATCAAAGTAAAGGTGACCCCTGTCAATTTTAATGAGTATGTGTGTATCAACGTAAAGGTGACCCCTGTCAATTTTAATGAGTATGTTTGTATCAAAGTGAGGATGATCCCTGTCAATTATGATGAGTATGTTTGTATCAGAGTAAAGAATGATCACTGTCAATTTTGATGAGTATGTTTGTATCAAAGTAAAGGATGATCACCATCAATTTTGTTGAGTATGTTTGTATCGAAGTAAAGGATGATCCTCATCAATTTTGTTGAGTATGTTTGTATCAAAGTGAAGGATGGTCCCTGTCAATTGTTATGAGTATGTTTCTATCAAAGTAAAGGATAATCCCTGTCAATTTTGATGAGTATGTTTGTTTCAAAGTAAAGGTGACCCCTGTCAATTTTAATGAGTATGTTTGTATCAAAGTGAGGATGATTCCTGTCAATTATGATGAGTATGTTTGTATCAGAGTAAAGAATGATCACTGTCAATTTTGATGAGTATGTTTGTATCAAAGTAAAGGATGATCACCATCAATTTTGTTGAGTATGTTTGTATCGAAGTGAGGATGATCCCTGTCAATTTTGATGAGTGTGTTTGTATCAGAGTAAAGGATGATCACTGTCAATTTTAATGTGTATGTTTGTATCAAAGTAAAGGATGATCCCCATCAATATTGTTGAGTATGTTTGTATCGAGGTAAAGGATGATCCCCATCAATTTTGTTGAGCATGTTTGTATCCAAGTAAAGGATGGTCCTTGTCAATTTTGATGAGTATGTTTGTATCAAAGTCAAGGATGACCCCTGTCAATTTTGTTAAGTATGTTTGTATCAAAGTAAAGGATGATCCCCATCAATTTTGTTGAGTATGTTTGTATCGAAGTAAAGGATGATCCCCGTCAATTTTGTTGAGTATGTTTGTATCAAAGTGAAGGATGGTCCCTGTCAATTGTTATGAGTATGTTTTTATCAAAGTAAAGGACGATCCCTGTCAATTTTAATGAGTATGTTTGTATCAAAGTAAAGGATGATCCCTGTCAATTTTGATGAGTATGTTTGTATCAAAGTCAAGGATGACCCCTGTCAATTTTGTTAAGTATGTTTGTATCAAGGTAAAGGATGGTCCCCATCAATTTTGTTGAGTATGTTTCTATCAAAGTAAAGGATGATCACTGTCAATTGTTGAGTATGTTTGTATCAAAGTAAAGGATGATCCCTGTCAATTGTGTTGAGTATGTTTGTATCAAAGTATAGGATGATCCCTGTCAATTTTGTTGAGTATGTTTGTATCAAAGTAAAGGTGACCCCTGTCAATTTTAATGAGTATGTTTGTATCAAAGTGAGGATGATCCCTGACAATTTTGATGAGTATGTTTGTATCAGAGTAAAGAATGATCACTGTAAATTTTAATAAGTATGTTTGTATCAAAGTAAAGGATGATCACCATCAATTTTGTTGAGTATATTTTTATCGAAGTAAAGGATGATCCCCATCAATTTTGTTGAGTATGTTTGTATCAAAGTGAAGGATGGTCCCTGTCAATTGTTATGAGTATGTTTCTATCAAAGTAAAGGATGATCCCTGTCAATTTTGATGAGTATGTTTGTTTCAAAGTAAAGGTGACTCCTGTCAATTTTAATGAGTATGTTTGTATCAATGTGAGGATGAGCCCTGTCAATTTTGATGAGTATGTTTGTATCAGAGTAAAGGATGATCACTGTCAATTTTGATGAGTATGTTTGTATCAAAGTAAAGGTGACCCCTGTCAATTTTGTTAAGTATGTTTGTATCAAAGTAAAGGATGATCCCCATCAATTTTGTTGAGTATGTTTGTATCGAAGTAAAGGATGATCCCCGTCAATTTTGTTGAGTATGTTTGTATCAAAGTGAAGGATGGTCCCTGTCAATTGTTATGAGTATGTTTTTATCAAAGTAAAGGACGATCCCTGTCAATTTTAATGAGTATGTTTGTATCAAAGTAAAGGATGATCCCTGTCAATTTTGATGAGTATGTTTGTATCAAAGTCAAGGATGACCCCTGTCAATTTTGTTAAGTATGTTTGTATCAAGGTAAAGGATGGTCCCCATCAATTTTGTTGAGTATGTTTCTATCAAAGTAAAGGATGATCACTGTCAATTGTTGAGTATGTTTGTATCAAAGTAAAGGATGATCCCTGTCAATTGTGTTGAGTATGTTTGTATCAAAGTATAGGATGATCCCTGTCAATTTTGTTGAGTATGTTTGTATCAAAGTAAAGGTGACCCCTGTCAATTTTAATGAGTATGTTTGTATCAAAGTGAGGATGATCCCTGTCAATTTTGATGAGTATGTTTGTATCAGAGTAAAGGATGATTACTGTCAATTTTAATAAGTATGTTTGTATCAAAGTAAAGGATGATCACCATCAATTTTGTTGAGTATGTTTGTATCGAAGTCAAAGATGATCCCCATCAATTTTGTTGAGTATGTTTGTATCAAAGTGAAGGATGGTCCCTGTCAATTGTTATGAGTATGTTTGTATCAAAGTAAAGGATGATCCCTGTCAATTTTAACGAGTATGTTTGTATCAAAGTAAAGGATGATCCCTGTCAATTTTAATGACTATGTTTGTATCAAAGTGAAGGGTGATCCCTGTCAATTGTTATGAGTATGTTTGTATCAAAGAAAAGGTGACACCTGTCAATTTTAATGAGTATGTTTGTATCAAAGTGAAGGATGATCCCTGTCAATTTTGTTGAGTATGTTTGTTTCCCGGTAAATGGTGATCCCTGTCAATTTTGTAAAGTATGTTTGTATCAAAGTAAAGGATGATCCCTGTCAATCTTGATGAGTATGTTTGTATCAAAGTAAAGGATGACACCTGTCAATTTTGTTAAGTATGTTTGTATCAAAGTAAAGGATGATGCCCATCAATTATGTTGAGTATGTTTGTTTCCCAGTAAAGGATGATCCCTGTCAATCCCTATGTTTGTATCAAAGTAAAGGATGGTCCTTGTCAATTTTAATGAGTATGTTTGTATCAAGCAAAGGTGATCACTGTCCATTTTGTAAATGTTTTACATTTCTTTCTAGATACCATGGGGTTCAAATGCCGTTAGCGTTTAAAACCATCTTTTGGTGACTCTACTAGCTGTTATTTGCAATCAGCTTTCTTATGGGCGTGTGTCATCATATGTGTTGAGACCTTTTATCTGTTACCTATAACTATGCTAGAACATTAAACGGCTATCAAATGAAACATATTGTTGACCAGATATTCATGATCATGTCTCGGTGTGGTGTCTTGCTATGATCAGCATGAGAATTAACTCTGGTTCGGATTATTACAGGATATTAAATACATCTTAACCCCCAGGATGTCTCTTTAAAACTCTTATAAGTTTCTTACTGCTGTTCAAGTCTGGCCTTATAACCACTCAAAATAAATTCAGAATCTTTTTACGAGAGAATTATTAGGTTTTCCCTCCGGGCGCAAACACAAAAAATTTCACATGTGCAGTATATTCTTAACATTTCGATTTTTTCTGGTTTAATAAACACACGTTTTCTACCCTCAGAGGACACAGAATTTTTTTGACTTTAATTTGATAAAATATGATAACAATAATATTTCAAAATGAAGGCTTTTTCAAAAAATGTAATTTTGTTGAACCAAATATAACAAATTAAGTATTTTGAATGAAAAAAGCCTCCGTTTTGATAATGCCTGATATATTTCACATTAGGTAATTGAAATTTAGGATTAACTTTTTCTGCTGGTGCAATTGCAGAAAACATACACATTTACATATTGACGTATGGATGTCTTTCTAGTCTGACCTGCTAAAATTAAAGCAGATAAAACTATATCTCACTTTAAGCCTACATCTGCAATCCTGAAACATAATTAAAAATCGATCAATTAATCCTACTTGGGAATATTTATAATCCTTGATGAAACATTATCGAATATCGACCCGTTTGATTGACAAGTATTATCCACTATCCAGTTGCTCAAGGGACTAGAGCTTAGGTTTTTTTTATCTTTTACTATTGTTTAAAGTCTGATGATCATGATGGAGTATGTTTTATAAATGGCAACCCTTTGTGCTAAAAATATTTCACGAAGTATGAATGGAAGCAAACCTGCTGTGTAAGTATAGGTTGCCAAACTAATATCGTGCCATTATAAATATCGTGTCAAACGGGGTGTTACCACTCTAAAACATTTTATCGGTATCGGATGAAATGGTGTAATGGAATATTAACATTAAATACAAATAATCAAGACCTCTTATAATGTAAAAAATACAAACAATTGGAATTAAAGTTACAGATCATTTGCACCGATCTCGATCTTAACCGACAACCTACGTAAATGCAAGCACAACGATTCTTGGACCTACACACATAATACGGACCGATACCTTGCCTAAATATCACCCTACCAGATGGAGTTGCAGAAACGTAAGAACGTAAAACACCATTTAGATATCACTGGAGTTGGATTTACAGTCTTGTGCAAAAACACATTCTGCTCTGTTATGTCTTTAATAATTTGATAGTTTCTGCTCTGATAACCGTCTTTTCCGTCACCATTGTTGTTGCCATGTCGTCTATATTGGATTGTACGTTTTTCACATTTGTAGGTAGGAAACACCTGGAGTGCTTACATTTCTTAAATACCCACATTTCCATTAAATGTCCTCGGAATTGTTGGCTCATAATACAATACAGCACGAAATTAATGGCATTGTTAATGAGAGCCGCCATATCTAATATATCTGCTAAAAGATAATAAACATTTTCAAAAAATCCATCGAAGATGACACTCAGGATGACCAGAACGCTTTGTGGTAGTTCTGTAACAATGTAGAGAATGATAATAACCAATAACATGGTAGTGGTACTTTTATGGCCTGCTCTCTTTTTCTTACTGCTACTGCTGCTACTGGCATTGGTACTAAACAGTCGTCTTCTTCGTTCAGTGCTCTCATGTAGCCTTTTTAATAGAAAACCCATGAAAACACTTATCAAGACACATGGTAAGAGTTTCCCAACGATAGCATATAACCAAAATGCCAAAAGTACAACAGACGAAGGTCTTTTAGATCCCAAGGCGAACTCATTTAGTCTGTACATACCGGTACTTCCGTTTGTAGCGGAAGTCTTAACTTCATAAACACCAGTTATTAGATAATTGGGCAACATGACCAGGCCTGAAGCAAAGCAAATGACCAGACAGGCAATCACTGTGTTCCTAGCCGTCATGAAGATCTTGGTCTGCAAATACACATACCTCTGTATCGCCATAAATACTGCCAGCCAAATGGATATAGCGTGCGTTGTCAAAGTCACATTAGCATGTACTGCCATGAACGTGGTCCATTCATAGGAATACCGATCTGGTGTAGGATCTAGTCCGCAAGCGATATAGAAATGTATTGCGTACGGAATATATGACGCCATTAGAGCGATATCAGAAATAGCCACAGCTGTTAACACTACATTTACTGAAGTGCGCATAGGTTTTCTAGTAAGTATTTGAATATTGATAAAGTTAGTTACAATGCCGAAAATGCATACAAATATACTCAAATAGCCATGAATGTTCCAGTACCAGTAGGCAAAAGCATTGAGATTTGGATCGGGTTTCGAGAACCAACCTCCTTGTTGAACTGTTCTGTTATCGTCAGAAATATAATTGTCTTCGATGGTATTGTTCATCAAACCCATGGTTGCACATTAATCTGAAAAAAGATGAATAAGAATCACACAAAATGTAATGAGGTTATTTATCAATTTCAGTTGAACTTTTCCTGATTTTTAAATTGAAGTTTAAGTGACGTTACAACATAATGGTTCCGTTGAAGAAGATTATAATGAATGTAAAATAGTCTAGTGCATATCAAATCAAAGTTCTCAATAAAAATCGTAGAGATACAGCACTTGTTAGTGAAGGTTGGATGCAACTCTGGTATTAAAGGACATAGTCGTTTAAATATTTGCTTCACTATCACATTGTGTTCAATTTTACCTGTCTATATGACTTTACAGAATCAAAATTTGACGCCCGATTGCGTGTTGTTAATTTTGATATTATGGAATATCTTCACCAGAGAATGTAAAAACACCCTAGAGAATGTAAACAACGCCTAAATAGGTTTGGTATGATGTTTGTTTATTGCAAGAAAAACGGACGTTTAGTATACAGCTAAATTGAGCTCTTACCAACTGTTAAAACAAATAAATAGACGATTGTATTCTTATAAAACTTTTTTAATGACAAACTGTCCTTTTTTTCTAACAAATTATGTTATTTCAATTGTGTTAATAAACGATCTCTCATTCAGCCTACACTCGCCAGATCTAATTGTTCATCAAATTGGAGTAATTTGTTTTCTGTCTGAGTATATGGTTTCGATAGAAATAGATTACAAGTCGGAGTGAGGACAGTGTTTTCTGGAGATATCTTCCTTTAAAGATGTGTCCACATGTACATATTATCTGTTGGCCGTATAGTTAACCGTTATGGTATGCGACATGGTCGATAAGGGTTTCAGTAATTTGGATAGTTTTGCATACGGAATCTGTGTCCATTGAGCGGATTGGACATTTGTAAATTACCAACAGCTACGGAAACAAAGAGAAGGTCTGCTTTTCAATGCTACAAAAAAAGAAACTTGCTTGATCTACTTACCACCTTTCCGATAACCTGGATTGCCTTTACTACCGCAATTTGAACATGCAACCATTAACGTCTACGTGCTCTACATATCATTACAGATTATTGAGTGTTGCACTGCATCATTCCTAGAGATTGATATTAAGAAAGGGAGTTAAATAACGAGCAGTTGCTCAAAAGGCTATACACAAACACAGCAGTTTAAACTACAAAATTGTCATACATACATGAAATAAAAAACGATAAAAAGTAAACAATAAAACAAAAATCGTTAAATATTTGACCTAACTATAAGAGTTAAATGCTATGACAAGGATAACTTATTACAAATCGTTTATCGAAAAATTGAAACTCGCCTCATACACGATTTCATCATCAACATATAACCGTTAATCGTATAAAAGTCAGATCAAAACTATAAACTATGTTCACGAGTCAATGTTTGAGTAATTTTACGTCAAAGGTTATAACATGTATATATCGAAATTTTAATATTTGGAGGAAATCATATTTGAAACAATATCTAAAATATAATTTGAGTTTAGTTGCGGTATGGCATAATTCGTGATAAAAATATTTATCAATGTAGGTGTTCGCAGAAAGGGCTTATCCTTTCTTTCCAGCACATTACACCCAACAAGCTAGTTTTACTGATTCGACAAGCGTCAACAAATTGGATTAAACACCGAAGTTTCTGTATAAAGAAGATCAAAAGTCAGGTCAAAGAAAACAGCTTTTTGATAAATGTTAAGAAAAGTGTGTTGATTACTTTATTCAATGACTAATGTGACACCTTTGACAATTAATATCATTAGACAATTGATGTTGATGTGAGAAAAATCGAACTTGCAACACTCTAACATCGTAAATAGACGTTTGTGTTTACAGAAATGTTGGAGTGATTTGATTTTATGCCTTTTGTAATGGCTATATTGAGAAATGTAGAGTCAAAATGGAGCTTTGATTCAAAATAGGGCATTCATTACTATTATGTTGTTTTTGATCTAAAGGAAAATAATACCAAGTAAAGAAGCGGGAGCAGAGAGAGTTATGATGGATATTATACTGTATTAGCCGTAATCCTAGCTCTTCAAACCTTCCCCGAGTCACTAATAGCCCGTAATATCAACTTATCCATCTATTCGTTGTTCTACGACTTTCCACTTTTTATGGCGAAATCAATAACAATCCTACAGAACATAGTATTTTAAGGCACCATATACAATAACAATACTTCAAAATACTGTATTTTATATAGGCCATCTATCCAGTGACAGATATACAGAACATCGTCATTTAAGACATCTATTCGATAACAATGCTTCAAAATACTGTATTTTATATAGGCCATCTATCCAGTGACAGATATACAGAACATCGTAATTTAAGACATCTATTCAATAACAATGCTTCAAAATATTGTATATCTAAGTCGTTTGATCCATGGCATTTGTTCTGATGCAGAAATCCTGATGATTTTAGGATATTTGTCCAGTGACTTATATGCAGAACATTGTATTTTAAGGCACCTATTCAATAACAATGCTTCAAAATACTGAATATCTTAGTCAAATGATCCATGACACTTGTTGCTGAAGGCATCTATTGAACGGAAATCCTGTTCTATTTAGGACATCTATCCAATGACAGATATGCAGAACATTTCATTTCAAGGCATGTTTTCGAAGGCATCTATCGGAAGTCCTGTAATATTTTAGGACATCTATCCGCTAAAATGCAGAAAATTGCAGTCTAAAGACATATATATTTAAAAATTTGAGACATATATTTGTATTCAATAACAATTCTGGAAAATACTACATGTTGAAACATCTATACAACATCAATTTTACAAAATAATAATTACTTTCTATTCTATCTATTAAAAGGCAATCTGCCAAAAATTGCACTTTGAGACATCTATTCAAAGACAATTCTACAGAATATTCTATGATATGAGCTCTATAGTCAATTAGCCATCTATTCTAGTTAAGACCTCCTGCCTTCCAAAAGCACTCATTATCCAAAATATTTAAATTAAAGATTTTTTACTTTCATGTAATGGGAATAAAATTCCATCATCACGCGATCCTGCAAGTTAATTAAGCAATCATATCCGTTTTTACAAAAATGAATATTGCATGCGGTCAGAGATCGCTAAACAAATTTATTCAAAGGAGCGTTAATGTTTATGAAATTCACAGCCTGTACCTTGGTATAAGAGTTACTTATTGAGACGCAATATTTCACTCGGAATTCTACACAGAAAATTATACCTGATTCAAGAACAACTAATTTAATTTATTTAACCCCGTGTAAGGAATGGCCCAAACAATTACAGTAACTGATAACAATTAAAGAAAACGTTTCCTGACTCACAAATCAGATATTGAATTAAAGAAAACAAACCAGCTGCACTTTCTTTGAACTGAAACGATCAATTCTATGGTATGGAAATTGATTTGCCAGACGTTTAAATTACAAAATTAAGTTATCTCGAAAATCGTAAGATTGAGACATGTTATGTAGCGAGACCAATACAGCCATAGTGACACGGCAAGAATTTTTTTTATTATTCTCATTGATACACTTTACTATACCTACCATCAACATTTGTATCGTGAGGTAAAACACTATAGTAGGTAATTGGAATCCAATCCTAAATAGTACCTCTGTTCATAGTAAAGGTCACAAAGAACTATTTTTTCGAACGTCAAGTAAAAGAAACATTTCTGCCGTGAGGTAAATCATTACTTATACAACCTAAATTTCTAACCGTAACTGAAAACCTAAAGGGTAACTCGGTTCACAGAAAGGAACCATTTCCCCCCACTTGAAGTGAATTTATCTTCTATCTAATTTCAGTTTCTATGAATACAGCTTGTGTACAGATTACCAGAAATAAACTGTCTAGTAACTCGAAATCACTTGTCGGGTTTCCAATTTAATATCGAAATAGCAGGACCGCCATAGGCTAGTACATTTGGGGAAACTCAGACAAGCAATATAATTTTACCATGAATAATAAAATGCAAGAGATATCGTCTCGTGTTTAAAACGATATACATTGTATACTCTTAGAATTACAACCTCCATTACAATCTTGTTCACAGAAAAATAACAATCACCTATGACATATCGAACTAAGACTTCGCCCTTCAGGCCAATATTTAGGTTTTTATCCCACTTAAGCTCTCATATACAAACAGGAGCTATCTATCTATATATATATATATCAGTGAACAGAAAACATCCAGTAATTCAATGCCTCTAGTATAAGTGGTCAATCCTTAATGAAATATCAAGATCATCGTTTCATTGATTGTATTAGAAATCATAGAAGCTTTCTAGATTGGCTAGGGACGAAACCCGAAGCTGACGGTCCTGTAAGTTTATACATGTATATGGCGGCATAAAAAGGACCAAATCAATATTGACCATTAGGCAGAGAAACATGTCGTATAATTTTCACATTTCACAGACAAACCAAATTCACAAGCGATGTTGGTAAATCTAGAAATTCCAAAAAATTCAACCAAATGTGACATTTTCTGATTTGCAACGAAGACCCACTCACGTTTACCTCGTAAACAATGCATTACTCCGATTAACTTCATTTACCACTATAGAACCACGGTGACCCGACAACTCTGACGCATGGTCGCTGATCCAGAACTTCTTGGTTCGATTCTAGAAAAGGGCAAGAAGCGCGTTCTTCTGTTCGAATAACTCAAAGTCCCGTAAGTTGCGGATATTAAAGATACGTTTGGTAGTACTGTTGAAAACCGAACATGACGGCGTGGCATGATTTCCCGCATTGCACAATGCTTGACATTGAAAATGAAGAGAAAAGGTCTGAAATCTCTTTACTTTCCTCACAATATCCCACATCAATATCTCATAATCTCCCAATTATTTACTTGATCTCATATCTAAATAGCAGACATACAAATAACAATGTCATCAACATCTGATGAAATATGCCAAATAAAGTCAAATGAATAAAGACCATTGTGACCATAGGTCTTATTCAGAAACCCAAAACCCACAA